CCCCCCACCATCCATGATCTTTGCATTATGGGGGGGACCGCAGCTGTCTATGGCAGGATAGCTGCCAGCCTGGCCACATGCGAACCCAGGAGCAGGTTCACATGAAAATCAAGTTGGTCCGGCGAGCCCCCCAACTCTGAGCCCTGAGCTTCCCCTCCCCCTCCCTTCTTCCCCTTGCTTCCCCCTTCTAACTCCCTCTTCCCAGGTTTCCCCCTTCCCTCTCCCACCCTCTCTTCTCCCCTCTCCTGCCTCCTTTCCCCAGTCTCACCAGAGTTTCACCCCTCCCCCCAGTTTTGTTAAATAAAGAGAGTTTGTGTTCATGAAAATACATGTATTTTATTTGACATCAGGAAGGAGAGTTAGGGAGGGGTAAGTGGAAGGACGTGAGGGAGGAATGAGAAAAAAAATCCAGTGGGGCAGACCAGGGAGGCTCTTAGTGCTCCTCAGAGTGGAAGCTCTCCCACAGGGCCTCCTGGATACTGACAGCCTCTTGATGGACCTCCCGGATGGAAGCCTGCTGAAAATGCAGCCAAGCTCACAGCAACGTGTCCATGAGAAGCACTGGAGTGCTCAGGGACACCTCCCACTCAATGTTGCAGAGTGCTGTGGTGTTCCGAGTGAGGGCAACCATGGAGAAAAAAATGCTTTGCTGTTCCTCATCAAGGTAGGCAAGTAAGCAGGGAAAGCTGATACCGGCTGTCAAGGTAGGGTCCCTTTAAGCACAGGCCTCAGATAGCCTCAGGCAGCAGCCACACAAAGTAACTCCTGACCTGATGCCCTGCTGGACCTGGTTCCAGCTGACCTTAAATGCGATTCAGCGTCCACTCAGTGTGGACGCGCTCTTTCGAACTAGCAAAATGCTATTTTGAAATGAATTTTGTGTGCAGATGCATTATTTTGAAATAACTTATTTCAAATTAACTATTTCAAAATAAAGTATTTTGAAATAACACTGTAGTGTAGACATACCCATAAAGAATAACAAAAGGCTGGGCATTCCAGCAACTGAAGGTTCATTAGATCATCATGAAAATATTGTTAGGTACTCCACTTAAAAGATGGGGGGGGGGGGGAGGGGAGGGATTGGTCTCTGTTCTTTGGATTACTATGTTAAATTTACTAATGTTCTTGAAAAAGAGATGAATAGGGATTAATCTAAAGCTGACTGCAAAGAGCTACAAAACAATTTCACAAAACAAGGTGACTGGACAACACGAAAGTCAGATAGAATTCAGTGTTGATAAGTGCACATGCAAAAATATAATCCTAACTATAGGTACAAAATAGCTGTTATTACTCAAGAACGAGGTCCTGGAATCATTGTGGATCACCTGCTGAAAATATCTGTTCAAGGTGCAGTGGCAGTCTAAAAACTAAAAAGCTAACAAAATATTGGGCATCATTAGGAAAGCAGATAATAAGATAAAACACCGTATTGCCTCTATAAAGTCATTGTATGACCACATCTTGAATACTGTATGCAGAAATGGTCACCCCATCTGAAAAAGGTATACATTGCATTTGGAAAAGGTACAGAAAGGTCACCAGACATTAGTAGGGGTAAGGAACAGCTTCCATACAAGGAGAGATTAACAAGACTGGGATTTTTCAGCTTGGAAAAGAAATTACTAAAGGGTGAGGTGATAAGTTAGAGATCTAAAAAATCATGAATGGTGTGGAAAAATAAAATAAGGAAATGTTATTCATTCCTTCACTAACATAACACAAGATGTTTAGCTGTCCCAATTACATTTATAGCCAGCAGATTTAAAACAAACAAAATAGGTGACAAGGGATGGATCATGATGATTATCTCTGCTGTTTATTTGTTTTGAAGCACTTGGCATAGGCCACTGTTTGAAGACAGAATACAGGGCTAGAAGAACCATTGGTCTGACCCTATATGGCCATTCTGATGTTCTTATATAGAGCTGAAATGTATCTGCCCTCTGCTGTAACCTACTAAACTCCACTCACCTTCCAGAGCTGAGATAGAGCCCAGGAGTCCTGACGGGGTCTCTCTCTCTCTCCACAGAGTTCATAACAAAGTAAATATATTAAAATTTTAAGGCTAACCAGTGTCACTTAAGTGACCTGCCACAAGATGTCAGAATATATTATTATTAGAGCTGAGTAAGTCTAATATTTATTTAATTTTCTTTCTTTTATATAGGAATTAGATACAGTGCTCCTGTCAGCTAACTGCTAAGTTTTCTGCCAAAAAAAGTAGTTTTGCAGTATCTTACTAGCTTCTGGATAGAGTTGATGTGTGAGGGAGGGATGGGGTTGCTTTCCCCCTCCATTTGGTGCTTGGCTTGTACAGAGCATGCTCAGTAACATTGCAGAAGCTTCTGTCCTCAATCCGCCCCTCCATTCTCTCACTCCCCCCCCCCCCATCAAGATATGCACAGGTCAGCCCTCTCCTCCTTCCCCACAATCAGAAATGGGGACCCTGCTTATCTGGGACTGCAAGACAAAGGAAACAAAGATGGTTTGCACCATTTACCACCATATAGATAAGTATTGATTAAAGCTTCTAACTCAAGTAGAGGAACAGACTGTAATATAGTTAGCCAAACTATTTGAGATCTAAACATTTACATTCAAGGGAACCAACTGCCTGTGTGGGCCCCAAGGCAAAGTGTGTGTGGGGGAGCTCCATGCTCTCAGAAGAAGTGGGGCCTTAAGTGGAACGGGAAGGGCTGGGGTAGCCAGCCCTTGGCACTAGCTGGAGCATAGCACTACCTCCCCAACCCTTAGACCTATGGCAGTGAGTTAAAGGGCCCAGGGTTCCAACCACCGCTGATGCTTCAGCATCAGGGATGGCAGCTGGGACCCCCCCCGGTACCTTTGAATTTCTGGGGCCCAGCAGGGCCGGCCTTAGGCCGATTCACCTGATTCCCTCAAATTGGGCCCCGCACCCTGAACCCGGAAGTGTGTCGGGCGTGCTGCGGGAGGGGGCATCAGCCTTGGAGGAGGAGTGTGGCTTAACCAAAAAAATTCCTGGGTCTCCCATTGAAACTTTTGTGTGCCCCCCCCCTTTTTTTTTGCTCAACTAAAATTGCTGTAGGACCCTGTTGAAATTGTTTGAATTGGGCCCTGCACTTTCTAAAGCCGGCCCTGGGTTCCAGGGCAGCTGCCTGCGTTCCTCCCCTGTGTTTACACTGACCCAAGTAAATAACCAATAAATGACCTTCAGTCACAAGATGCTTGCACAATAAGATGTGCTACGTGCTGTGCTGACGGTTGTGAAGTGAGAAACCACAAACACGGGTTACTAATATTTTAAGGGATATATGTAACTGAAAGTTAAAAGATGCGACCACACTAATGCTTTAGCAACCAGCTGACATAAATGCTGATGAGTATGATGTACATGGTTAAAGTGACCTATGAAGCAGGTGTGGATAAACCGCAGTTTGTGTTCATGCAGCATTTTTTACAGCTAAAGTGTGGCTCACAGAGCCCCTTGCTACTCCCTCCCCCATTCTCCATCTAACAGATTGTGGGGGGGAGGGGAGAGGAGGATGAGCTGGGGACATCTGCCTTGCAGTAGAGTGTGGGGGTAGAGGCTTCTGCCAAAGGGGGCAGGGCACAATTTAAAGGTTCAGCCCCCGCACCAGCTTGTGTCATGCCAGCCAGGCACGCAGCCCCTCTTACCTCAATGTCCCCTCCCTGCAGATCCCAGGCTGTTTTCTGCGGCCTGTCTCCATGTCTGCAGCTCCCAGCTTGCTAACTGCAGCAGCTGCTGTGCAGGGAAGGGGCCCAGCAGCACCACATGACTGAACAGGGCCAACAAACAGTGGTTCAGCCCCCGCACCAGCTTGTGTCATGCCAGCCAGGCACGCAGCCCCTCTTACCTCAATGTCCCCTCCCTGCAGATCCCAGGCTGTTTTCTGCGGCCTGTCTCCATGTCTGCAGCTCCCAGCTTGCTAACTGCAGCAGCTGCTGTGCAGGGAAGGGGCCCAGCAGCACCACATGACTGAACAGGGCCAACAAACAGTGGCAAAAGGTCAGTAGCAGGGAAGCATGTGTCCTCGTGTTGCCTCTGGCTTCTGCTCAGTATAGTGGGCAGGGAGGTCTCCAGGGAGGAGGAGGAGACGGACATGGTAACCCTGTCTGTGGTGCCATTGACCCAGGACATCTCCCAGGCCTGGTGAGTGGTCTGACTCTGTCACACACACAGGGCAGGGGAGATGGGCGCACAGGAGGTGGGGGGTGAGTGTTGCTCGGGCTGGACATTGTACTGAGGTCCATGCACGTGCAGTGTTAGTGTGTGGCACGCAGACACAGCAGGCAGCCCCTGAGCACACCCAGGATTCTGCTGGCAGGCTCAGGGGAGGCCACACACATCCTGCCACGGGGGTGGGGAGGGGCTATGGCTGGAAGCAGGCTAGCCACAAGGGCGCAGGCATGACCCCACACAGACTGAGGAGTGCCACACACAGAACATGGCCATGCCTTCATGTGTGAGACAGCAGCCACTCCCCTAGACAGTGCTGCAAGCTGCAGCTGTGTGGGCTGACCCCAGGGAAGCCCAGGCTGCTCTCGGTTCCTCTGCTGCCCATCAGGGGATCCCACTGTGGTTGGACACTTCCCTTGCCTGCTTGTCCATGGGCCGGGGTGTGTGTGGGATGTGGAAGTAGGCAGCACAGACCCCTGGGCACGTCAGGGTCGCTGTGAGGCATGGCCTTGCTCCTGGGACATCCCCTTCCTCTGGCCAGAGGACTGTTGGTCGCTGCTCACAGAGGAGGGCACGGCCTCAGGGACAGTGTCTGCATAAATGACTGACCACCTCTCCCTCTTTGTGTTCTCCACAGCCAGACCAGCTGGGACTGAGGGCCGAGTCACGCCATCACAGGGGACCCGAAGGCTTGCCAGGGTCCATGAAGACTTGATGCATTAGTACATCAGTGTCCTGCACGACATGCAGCAGACCCTGGTGCACAAGGTCCGCGAGGACTTGGAATGACGGAACCGCACATGGGACTAGCTGATGCAGCGGTGTGACAACATGTGTGCTGTCATGTTGCACATGATGGCATACCCGCCTAATGCCGCTCCTCCTGCCTTCCACCCTCCGGCCCCCTCTGTTATGCCCATTCCCCCTCCGCCAGCCCTCCCTACTATGCCACTGCTCCCTCCCCAAACGTTGCCTCTGCTCCTTCCCCAGGTGATGCCTATGCCCCTCCCCTAGCAATGCCCATGCCCCTACCACAAGTGATGCCTATGCCCCCTCTTTCTGCCCCTTGCCATCTCTGACCCTGCTCCAGCCCCGCTTCCTTGTTCACCTCCCTGTGGTTCCTGGACCCACCCAACCCCACTCCGATAAGGTCCCTGCACCCAAGGTGGCACATCGAGCCACCCCTCTCACTCTCCCCAGCCCTGAGCTCCCCTTCCCCTCCCAGTTATGAGCCCCCCCTTCCCCTGCCCACCTTTTCTGAATGTTTCATAAGTACAGACTTCATTTTGTTGAAAACCAAACAGGTGGGTTTATTGAGAGGTCAGAGAAAGGGTGAAGGGAGGGACTGTGGTAGGGAAGGGATAGGTCTGCAAGCCAGAGGCCCCTAGGGAGAAGGCCCTGGGAAAAGTTACTGGTCCTTTAGAGAACTTCTTCCTCAAGACCTCCCGGATGCGCACCTCAGCCTGATGGGCCTGTTGGATGGCAGCTGTCCTCGGCGGCTTGAATGCTCGCCCCTCAAGGACGCAACATGCCACCGCCACCACCTCAGAGATGTGCTCCCCCAAGTCCAGGTAGGTCAGGAGGCACCTGAAATCACCTTGAAGTGGCCGAAGGTGCACTCCACTTGAATTCTGGCCTGGTTCAGGTGGGCATTAAATTGGTCCTCACTGGGATCCAAGTGGCCAGTGTATGGTTTCATCAGCCACAGAATGAGGGGATAGGTAGCATCTGCATGTCCCCAATGGCAAATTCACAGCAGGGGAAAAATGTGCCCACCTCCAGCTTGTGGTACAGGCTGGTGTTTCTACGAAAAGTCTGTAAAGCGTCGCTGGTGGTCACCCAGGGAGTGAAGCACCATCAAAAAGTAGCCCTTCTGATTACTATACTGGGCCGCTCAATGGTCCAGTGTGCAGATTGGGATGTGGATCCCATCGATCTCTCCCCTGCAGTTCGGAAACCCCAGGGCAGCAAATCCAGCCACAGACACGTCCAGGGTCCAGGTCTCTCAGACGGATGACCGTCCACAGCAAGATGGAGTTGATGGCCCTCACAACCTGCAGGAGGAGACAAACACACACTCAATACAGAGAATGAGAGAGGGAGTGCCAGAGCCCTTGGGAGGTGCCCACCCTGCTCCCCTCTCCTGCCCCCCCTCAAGTACCCCAGGAGCCATTCCCTATGAGGCCACCCCTCCCAGTAGCAGGACTGTGTGAGGGCGGGATGTCACAACCCCCCGGGGACAGGGCTTTCCCTCCCCACTCCACCTCCCACAGCCCTCAACCTCCCTTTCCCGAGGGACCCCCTTTTCCAGGATTCCCCCCATGCAGGGACTGCAGCCCCAGAGTGCTTTACCTCCATAAGGAGGGCCCCAACAGTGGACTTCCCACATCAAACTGGTTGCCCACCGACCGGTAGCCATCTGGGGTGGCGAGGTTCCAGTGGGCAATTGCGACCTGCTTCTCCGCAGGTGAGTGTCATGTGTCCAGAGGGCGGGAGTGAGCCAGGCACACAGCTCCAAAAAGGTGGCCTCCTGCATGCAGAGCCACTGCTGGTCGTCCCACCACTCCATGACCATCCGGTCCTACCAGTCCAAACTGGTTTGGGGCCTCCAAAAACACCTCTCCACAGCGAGGTGTGGTTGCCAGAGTGGAGCACCCACACCCAGGGAGAGGGTCCCCAGAATGAGCTCGTGGTCCATCTCATTCAGGACCAGGATGGCATCTGGCAGAAAGTGCTGCAAAAACTGCAGCATGGCCACGTGGGGCCATCGCATGCCAAGGGGCAGCTCCGGCTCCATGGCACAAAGAACAAAGCTGTGGCATCCAAAAAAAGAACAGGGCAACCACAGCAGGCACTGCGAGAGCTTTGCTGTCCCTCGAAGAGCACACAGCAGAAGCAGAGAAACGGCTGTCCAGTGGGGTCTCTTTAAGCATGTGTCTCTGCAAGGCTCTGGCACCAGAATTCAGAAGCAACTGGTGACTTCAAGCCCCACCTGAAGTGGTTCTGGGTGGCCTTTTATGTGAGAGAGTGTCCATACAGTCTGGATGCTCCCTTTCGAAAAATCGCATCACTTTTTCAATGCGTTTTTGTGTGTGGATGTGCTCTTTCAGAAGAAGATCTCTTCAAAAAAAAGTTTCTTCCAAAAGAAGCCTGCAGTCTAGATGTAACCTCACAGAATGACAGAGGCTCAAGCCACTTTGAGTTCAGAGGCTCCAGCCGAGCCCCAGCACCAGGTCCCCTGACATATCTAATTTCTCATCCACAGAGTCATACTAAAACCAAAAGAATCTATGAAAATAGACACCTGAGACATTTATTTATTAACAATTAAGTCATTGTACCAATAGCATGTACAGTAAACTTCCGATAATCCAGCACCTTTAGGACCCGGGGGGCCAGATTATCAGATATGCCGGACTATCGGAAGGGGGGGCTATGAGGGGTCTGGTGTGGGGTTGGAGGGGATGCCACTCCAGACCCCTCATAGCCCCCCCATTCCGATAGCTGGGCTCTGCCCCAGCTGTCCCGATTCAGCCACTGCTGATCAGTTTTAGCAACGGCTGAATCGGGGATGCCTGGGGCAGAGCAGCTGGGGTGCTGCCGGGTTGGTCCGGTAGTTTCTGCCCCAGGCTTTCCTGATTCAGCTGTTGGTCAGTTTCAGCAGCGGCTGAATTGGGGAAGCCAGGCGCAGAGCATCTCCAATTTTCCGGCTGCCCGGAGCACCTCTGGGTTCCCGATGGTGCCGGACCATCAGGAGTGCCGGAGCATTGGATGCCGGACCAATGGAGTTTTACTGTATATTAAAAATGTAACTTTAATTGTGAATTTCCACTGCTAGAAAAACTCTTCATTTTAGAAATGCTCTTCCAGCTTTATTGTGCGCAAACTTGTTTATAATTGAAGAAAAATCTAATTTATGTGCAACATCACTGTTAATGTTAAGCACTGCAAGCCCATTCAAATGCTCTTGTCCCATTACTTGTTTAACACATTGAATGTGCATTCACCTGAAGCCACTGATGCAGGGAGACCAACAAAAATATGTAATGCAATTCTGATATTAGGAAATACAGTCAACAGGTCAAGATCAAATATTTCTTGAAGCAGTTCTTTCTGACTTGCAGTCTGATTTAAAGTTGATAGAATGTATACATTTCAGGAAGATGATCTCGTCACAGAGATCTCTTGAAATGTTGTTGTTGAAACTGTTCAGACACTGAATATAGATCTTCATCACTTAGTTGTCTGAACCCACAAAGGAATCCAAAAAGGGTACAAATTTGTTGTAGTCACTCAAATCGACATGTAAGACTAGATTTGATGGAGTCAATAATAACAAAAAAAATTGACTTGATAGTGCTTTCTGCATCAGATTGAGATGTTAGGCTGCAATTGGTGGAAAGCTCAGATGAAATGTCAATACCCTGTGCTACTGACTTGGACTCAGAAATAATTGCATCCCATTGATCTTTTGAATATCTTTATGAAATCATTCAATGTTATCTTTCTCAACATCTAATGTAGCATTGCATGCTTCAATTACAAGATTG